AAATCATAGCATTAATATAATTTTGGGGATATCTTCCAGATTCGCTCTTATTTTTGGAGAGTTAGGGTCATTTTGTGATACGATAATAAAATCATAAATTTCTTTTGGCTGATTGGTCAAAAGAGCGCAGACAATTTACCGCCTCACTTTTAGATAAATGGAATACGTTTTAAAAAAATGAATTAACGTTTTGGCAAGCATATTAATTCTATTATCCTTTATTTACTATTTCACATAATTCGTATAATATGGTTAAATTATGTGCCGTTACTATAGATAATATGGAAAACATAGAAAGTAAGAATCAATTCCGCGCCCATTATCCAGTCCAGGAAACTGGGACTATTTGGGAGGCTTCTGTCGAAGATGCTATCCAAATAAGCCTTGACGAAATCTCAAAAACCCTCTCAATGAAATTCCTTTACTATGCAAATACTTTTAAAGTTACTTAGGCTACGAAACGTGCCATATGCATAGCGTTTACCACCAATTACGGACGACTGCAAATCGTGGTCAGTAAATGAGTACAACCTTGAGTATTGATCACTGATTATCTGAGAAGACCCCGGTATGCACGACCGCACATGTGCGCCACACGATCGATGACATGAATGTACTTTCCAGAATATTCAATCGAGCGCGAACTTAATTTGGTTGGAATTGATAGCCATGTACAATCCACTCACCTATAGTTGTAAGGTCTCTCTCATTAAAATGCCCCCACAAACTGCTCTTTATATGATCACCAATTGCGTATACCACAACAGAATTGACTTAGCTTATAAATCAGCCACAAGCCCCAGGGCTCAATAATATCACATAATTGGCTAAATGACAAGCTTTACTCCAAATTTCTGCAAAGCAATGACATCACGGTCATTAATAATTAAAAATATGTTCTTTATTTTTTCAGAATTATACAAATAACTTCGTCGACCAATTAGAGTCTTCCCCGAGTGGAGTTGTGAGCTCTGACATTAATTTATAAAACTTAGGGACTGTCTAACTCAGAAACTTCACTCCCTTCTCCTTGTGTTTCAGTTCTTGGTCCCTAAGAACCTGTCCACTGATTTTTCGAACTTCTTTGTGAGCTGAAATCTGCTACTTCGAAATTGAATGGTGGACGTCTAAACGAGGGTCATAACTGTAGTGTTTCTTTGTCTAGGGATAAGCACTTCCTGTTGGTTGTCTATAGGTCGCCTACCTTAGTAACCAAATCTCGCATTCACATCGATCAAGACAGCTTCAATAATGTTAAGGGAGTGTGTACTTAGCCATGAAGCAATAGTCTGATTTATTAGGGATCTCGGAGTAACTGTATTCAATCCCACCCCTATGAGTCTTAGTCAAATAAAGTTCAGTGGAGTCTAGTGACCAGGTGTTAATTAGGAACCAAAATTTGACGTACTAGAACCACCAAAATATAGAAATGGCCATGGTTTGTAGAATCGTCAACTCAGAAGTTAAGACTAGAAGATAGCAACTAGCAGCAGTGCCATAAAATAGAGCAGAGAACTGGAGGTAAAAGGGTTTTGAATAAACCATAATGAGGACAAATGCACTTTTGCCTGAAACGGGACAATTTTCGAAAAAATGTGAATCGAAAGCCCATCTGGACATGACAAATATGGTTCTGAGTCGTAAGGACCTTAAAGGCAAAGTAGCTGTGTATTTATAAAAGAAATGAAAATATAGCATTCGTTATTGAACGAGTACGTGGGACATATCTACAGATTGCAAAGTTTCAACTGCCTCTTTTAACGATCTAATCCACACCAAAGGCAGTAAAATGGGTAACAGATTAGGAGATCGAGAATCAATCAAAATCAGCGCCAGGAGTTCGAAATTTTTATTCAAGTATTATGCTATCCACAGCCTTATATACCATAGTTTCAATGCCTGGTTTTCAGGATTTGATACCTGGATCCTGTGCAAATTTAGGATCGAAGCTCTCAAAGCAAGAAATGGCTATCTAATTTAAGTAATTTCGAATTAGGGCAGTTCTTATATCGGAAATCTCATAATATAGTTAGTTTAACGATTTTTAGATTACTCAAACACTTGGTCTTTAATACACCTCGGTCCTTCCTCAACTTTGAGTTATCATCGACGTTCAGCAAAATACAGCTTTACTCTCAACTCTGGTCTCGACATAGTGGCCATCTGCTGGCGTCCACTAGTCATAATTCAATCTTTACACGATCCCATGATGTTGATTCCGAGAGCGACCACCATGCGCCCTTCAAGCCAATCTCAATACAAATACTAACCCTTAGTGTTATCCAGGTGCCACACAGTGATTAATGTTTTCTCAATAATGAACTTGGAGCTTACAGTAATTGAAATGATTGAATAATTCAAATTTCTTCCTCCTATGCTAGATGCGCTTAGGAAGTAAAGAATTTTAAAATCCCTACCTTAAATGGTAAAGAAGGGCGCTATGAAGTTAGACATCAAAATTAGCTATGGCGCACATACTTAGTGTCTTTATTACGCCATAAATTTGACTACCATTAGTAAACGAAAGCCAATGAACTCAACCCGAAACAATCAAGAACAAGGAATCGCCGTCAAAAGTCCATAATTTGTTACAATTTGTAAACAGTCAGATAGAAAAAAGCGTTGACAAATAGAGACCAAACTGGGAGGGATTCAGTCATTTTTAAACACTCACGGATTATACACTTAAACAGACACACACACATTTATATATATATAGAAGAGAATAGAGAGAGGGGGGGGGGAGGGGGACAAATATGTTTAGATCAACACGCTCCACATATAAAACTTGGAATACATTATTTATTTACATACAAAATGCTACTTCTATTGGTCAGCTACGCCGGTATTTCCATTACACTCCGATTGATGGGTCAAAAATCGAGAGGTACAATTCTCTCCAACAAATACTCTAGAGCACAGAGGACAACCATAGGCCAGAACCATTTGTCCGATAGCATCAGCAGCTATTTCAGTAGCTAATACCATTGTATCGATAGAAGAAGCAATAGGATGATCCCCAGCATGAGTCACTTCATTCACTGCCTGCAAGCTTTCTCCCTGCAGATCCAACGGACAAGACCATCCAGGTGTGTCTGAAATGAGAAGGTGACTATCACGCAGACGACTTGATGTGAATTTTGCTCCACAACCAGCGAAATGATTTGGACAAGTTATTGCCTCCTCTTCTGATTGGTGGGCCACGCGAATATGGCCAATCATATCGGTTCGATAATGAGGACCCAGAAAAATGCGACCACAGGCTTGGCAACCCAATTGTTCCAAGGCGGATTCTGAATTGTGATCCTTCAAAGAGAAAAAAAATGTAGAAGGTAACCACGTCATTAGCAGATCGTTATTATGCGCCACTTAAATGGCAAAGGTACAAAAAAACATTTTTTTTCGAATTCCGAAGAACTTAAGATGCACAAAAATGGACATCTGGATTTAAATTATCACCCGCTTGAACACGAGTGGGTTTGAGAGCTTTGAAGCATATCGATTTCAATACAACGAGACTTAATATCACCTTATGAATAAACCATCCATTTTTCAACTGAAATAGTTTCTTGCATGCCCTTGGCAGGAAAGTTTTCAGCATTACTGTTTCAGTCACGAAGCTCGGAGACATCCGTGTTTTGAAGACATAATCAATCAGACTAGCATTAACACTGAAAACTTGATGTTGCCAATGATCGGCCCAGTTTGATAAAACTAGACTGTCTATAAGCTAAAATTACATATACCACCCTGGTTCCATTTAAATCTCGCCATTAACAGTCATCATCAACAAGACTTATTCAAATATGCACCCAACCCATTTACTACGGATATAATAATCTACCGCAAAAGATTTGATGATCCCATAGATTCGAACAGATTCAATAGACTAAGACGTGAACATTATAAATCCTTTCGTTAAAATAGTCACGCGATGATCTGCGAAGACATTTGTCAATATATATACATGCTACTGAAATGCTCATAGTGGCATATTTATTCATATAATTTAACGATTGAATAACATGAAAAATCCCACTCATTCTTCTAATGCTCAATTGTACTCCAAATCAATTAAATGGAGTTAGAAGTAGGCTTAGCTAACAATCATACCAGCCTGTATGGACGCGCTTCACTGTGAGAAGTCTAGCATGAGTACATTGTGGAATAATGAGAAAAAATAAAATTGGGAGACAAGTTTGAACATCAGGACGTACATTCAATTTCTTGAAGCTTGTTGAAAGCAGAAGATCGCGGTGATGCCAATCACCTCTACTCATCCTTTATAATCTGTATTTTTTCATCTCTCTTACACATTTATAGGTTGTGTCCTTTGACTTAATGGTACGATATGTCGTAAATAAAGATCCCCGTTTTGATCGACTAATAGAATCACCTATCTAAGCGTATGAACGAAATATCTAGTAAGTAGAGTGAAACCTACCAATTCTAAGTGAATGCAGTGTTCCTTGGGGTTGTCGTAAACGATTGGATTATCAGGACCGCACAAGCGGCAGCATTGTGGAGCGTGCCCTGGGGATGTCTGCGCCAAAGTAACTTCAAAAGAGCCAGTAGCATTCATCGGAGTATGTAAATTTTCATCCTGTTGATGATCACTGCGAGTGGGTGGAGGAAGATCCAATCCGGCCATAGCTGCTGTGTGAAAACCGAAAGAGGCACGAGATGAGCCCCTTGGACGTCCACGTGGACGACCAGTTCCTCTAAGTCGCGAAGGGGTATTGGAAAGCGTACCTCGTCCGCGACCTCTACCGCGACCACGACCACGTGGAGAACGATAACGTGCCGACCCCGAGGTTTCGAGGAAGTCTGGATCATCTAAAAGATCACCAGGTGTGTAGATTGGCGCTCCTAACGATCTGCCTCTTCCTCGGCGACCTAGAGAAAAAATGAGAATAGGAGATTATGACGATAACTTCCGATACCGTCAACATAGGAAGCCACAGCTCGCAAAAGCATTATGTTACATTAAGGCTTTCGTCGAAGTTAGTAACTTTCGATATTTCCAATTTTAGAGAGAAATGTTAAACAGCGATCAACCATTGTCGACCTCAACCTTCGCAAGCCATTCACACAGTTGAACCCACCAATAAATAATATATGGTTCATGACTTGAAGCATAACTCACAAAGGTGGAAATAATAAACTGCTTAATGGGGAAAGTAATTTATTGATTCCCTATTAGTCTTTGAAATTTAATTATTTGTTCGCCCTTCTTGACGTGTCCTCTTAGTCAATTAATGATGATGTTACCAGTATTCTCTAATTAGTCAAATTATACAATGACGACATATCTCCCCATAATGGAACTGAATAACTAGTTGCTAATATCAAGAGAAAGGCTAAATTATCTCTGAAAATAAATATGCTAACAACTCACCTTTGATGCAATTCTAAACTACTGTCACTACCTACAGTTTCATCTAATACCAAGCTTAGTACCCAAGCAATGCTGGTGTTGAATCAAAAAAGCATATATCCGCCTTTCTTCTTATCACTATAATCAACTAGTACCACAATAAGGTAGAATTTGATCAAATATTACCTCTGCCACGGCCACCCCTTCCACGTTTGGGAATAATGATATCTTCATCAGATACAGCCAGAGAAGTTAAAACAGCAGAAGGAGATTTCACTCCATTCTCCCCAGTCTCTGTCCAATCTTTGTCATTTTCATCATTCTCCGTTTCGGAATCTGGCTGGGCGAGTGCAGATGCAACAGCGGAAGTTACAGTTTGCTGTTCAAGTTGCTCGGGGTGGAACTTGGCAAGATGCAACTGGAGAACCTCGGGGGATGTAAAGGCAACAAGTTCACAGTAGGGACATTCGATCGGATCCATATCTACATGTCCGTAGAGTACGGCATCGAAATTAGATGAGTGCTTGAGAACTGCGTGGCGACGCAATGCAATATACACTGGATAGGCCATTCCACAGAGCTGAAGAAGTGAATGAAATAGCCATTAACTTTTCAAAAAAATATGAGGAAAAGCATCCAAAGAATTTGACGTGGGTAGAGAAAATGCCATGGAGCCTCACTTATCAAGAACTCACAAAAGGAACAAGAATTTCAAGTGCCCCATTTCAAAGTGCCTTAAGTCATAAAAGACAATGACGATTGAAATGTCAAGCACTACGACACCAGCCTCACTATTGATGCTAGCTTCCAAAATTAAGACATTTTTAAATCGACTAACGACTATATTTGTTAGACGTAAAATTATCCCTTTAAGTGGAATGGTTTTAAATACTAAGCCCATCCAAAAAAACATTTAGAGTACATACTACTCAACAATAAAGAAGTGGTAAAATTGTCCTGATCATACCTGACAGGGAAAGACCAATTCTCCAGAATGTTCGTTTACCAAATGCCTATCACGTTCTCTCAAAGTGGAGAGGGCATTATCTCCACAGATGGGGCACACGTAAACTCTTCCCGGAGGATTTCTAGTAACTTCTTGACCATCCATAGCAGGTCGTGGAGGAGATGGGGGTAGGTCAAGAGGTACATCGAAAACCCCAACTGGTACAGAGGAGCCTCTAATTGAGGATGAAAGTGTCAAAACTCCCGCCGGTGTTCGCTTCCTTGATGCTGTCTGTCGTTGCACTTCCTGGGGCTCTTGCTGTTCATCGTGCTGGTCCACCAATTCGACGACCATTTCATTCTCCTTTTCGGCCTCAGATTCTGGTATATGCTCCTGTCCGCTCTCCATGTTTGTGCTATTTGATGGCTCTACTTGTATCTCCTCTTCTATTTCGGCTTTTTCCTCTTTTACTTCTTCTAATGGAATTGACTTTTCGGGCAATATAGGTGGTTCCTAAAAGCGGGGAAAATAAGCCAATATCGAAAGCACTAACATTTCTCCATTCTACTAACAGCGTATAAGAACAAACAAGAAAACACAAACTACTATCGCCTACATCTGAGGCCAACATACATAAAAAAACAATAGAATGAACAACAAAACGAGGATAGTGGAGTAGCAAAGGCAATAGTAGTGAAAGAAATCCAAAACTGAAAAGTAATTTATTTGTTTGAAAAAGGCAACGAGAGTACAACAAAAACAAACAAAAAAGTCTTCTGACTGATGGTAATTGACGAGGAAAAAGGTACGGTGATTTGTGACCTAAAAGAGACTGACATAGTGATCAATAATTATATACTAGTCATTAAAGATTAATAACCTAACATATGTTACAAAATTAACTAATGTCTACTCAATTGCACAGATAAGTCAAAAAGAGTACAATTTATCCGTCCCGAATGCCCTCATGATGAATTTTGATTTAGATATCAAGCATTAATGACATTGCTGTAAAAGCTTATATCTACCAAAGCAGATTATGGGTTCACTACTCGATAAGGGTTCGACATTCCAAGAGATAGCAGCAAAGTCAACAAACTTGGAAAACGCTATCAAGTTAAGCACTACCGAATAACCTAGCTTCCAAAGTCATCCAAAATGCATGAATCTTAAGTGCGCAGACAAACGATGATTTAATTTCTTGTAAAATGTCATGATGACTAAATTCTATGTATAAACAAGAGTTGAAGTTATTCCAACAAGAATCACTAAAATATCGAAGCAAAATTAAAATTACTACAATTTAGATTCCGCTTCTGAGGCAACATAGAGCAGCACAACGATTCTCCGTTTCGAACGGATTAGACAGACATCGCTCCCCCCCTCCCCTCCCTTCCCCTCGATCTAAGTTACCAATAATTGGATTTTCACACTGGTTTTTGAGATAATCTCGACACAGTACAACTATCAGCAAACTACATAAGCTATGTAAATAGACGCATAGAATTATGGGGTTTATTTTAAAGGATCTGAGTCAGCTTTAGATCTTACATTATCACAGAGAGCACAAAAACCAAAGTAAGTTTAAATCAAGACGATTTAGATCAGCGGTGGAAAATACTACCAATGAGGTCTTAATCTTTACATAATCCACAAAACTTATCCAAAGAACTAGGAAAAATATTATCAAAGCCCAAAAAGCCTCCAAGATTACAACTGTTCTACAGTTCGCAAACAAAGATCACTTCAAGCAAAATTACAATTAGTTTCAATGCTCTATCTCACAATCAGAAATTTGAGCTCAAATAGGCCACTAATTTTAAGCACAGATTAACACATTTAACGATTGTGTATCCAAATAATGCAGTTAAGACATGACTTACAGTTCCATTCATATTGTCTTCACCATCCGGTTTCTTTACATCTTTCCGCACCTCCTCAACCTGTGACTGATCTACCTTAACAGTAGCCGATTTTACGATATTTGGAGATGGTTTCCTCAGGGGGGATTCGTATTTCATTCTCCTCCAAGCAGGAGAATCAACCATCATCTCAGATGAATCTGGCGCATGTCCGACAGTAGACAGCTCTGTTGCAGCGTTATAGCCTCGAACACCGGGGAATCGAATAGCGAATGCGTCTCCAGCGGATCTTGAATCGTCTGTGAGTTTTGAGATCAACGCCCGAGTTGGTCGACGAATGGAAGTAAATGGGAAGCTGGGAACAGAAAGACGAGCACCCTTGCCTGCGCATCGGGACATGTGAGATGCTAGAGACGCTGGAGGTGCAACAGCATCCTGGGCGCGGAGAACGAATGTACACCAACCGCAACCTAGACAGGTCACTACTCGATGAGCAACATCTGTGGTGCGTTGATAGACCATTGAGGCTGCGTATGAAGAGAGAATGAAGAAATCAGACCCAAATAAACAGACAAGCAAATTGTTGCACTAAAAGTTGCAATACGACTAACCAAAAAGGGCGAAAAAATTTATTACAAAAACGAGAAAATCCATGACTAAATTTTCACAGAGATCAATCTACATAAGGAAAGAATATAGCAATATCCAAATTACCAAAAGTAGAAAAAACGTAGAGTTAGTAAAGACAGCTTTGTGTGGACATTAAAGAGATGAGTGAGGTCAAATCTTGATCAGGAAACCTATAAAGAATCATACCTCCAGCTTTATTAAATAACCATAACCAAAAAGTGTGCATAATGCCAATGAATATGAGAAGACACGGGGAGATCGATCACACACACCCGGACAAGAAATTACAGTATCTCTACGTAAACGTTAGACATTTCGATAAGCTAGAGTACCTATCCGTATCTTTCATGTAATAAGGAAAATGCCAGAGGAAGAAGTGACTTGAATCAAATATCGCCAAGGAAGAACATGGGATATTTAAAGCAATGACTGGGAAAAGTGGAGTAAAATTTTAGCACTATCAAAGGTGCAGTGTTGAAATGCAGACCATAAAAATAGTGCTTATACTTAGAGTATAAATCATCATTTTAAGTCATTACAGAACATAAAAAGGGCACAACCCTTAATAATACAAGCAATCAAAGATGCCAAACCGAAAGAAACGCAAGGAAATCTGAAAAAATCTCGGAGTCAGAAATATCAAATCCGATATCACTAAAGCGCAAAATAGAAGTTGCCATTTTAAATTATAACAAATGTAGAGACCTTGAATTACATATCTAGCAAATTGTATATGTGTACCATAAAAATCAATTCATTAAAATAATGATAAAAATGCCTCAAAATTACCGGGACTGGGTCTCCAGTGGATTTCATGAACAAGTAAGATGTGCGATGTTAGATCACTGATTGATTCTGAATCGATTATATTGATGCAATAAGGGCAGGTAAGTTTTTTTACATCCGGATGCTTTTTCTGCACATGTTCGTCAAAATCACTAAGGTAATAGGGTTTGGATTCGGCTTGGCAACCATCACGAGGACAAAATGGACATCCAGGTAGATTATCGTCAACAGGTAGAATAACGTCTCCATCAGCAGCATTACGAGAACTGCACTTCCTAAGATGATTATCCAAGTCTTTACTTGTAGAGAAGGCGCTAAGGCACTGCCAACATTGCCAATTGAAATCATCTGTTGTAAAACTAACAGTTTTCGGTTTCTTTCGCTGAGAAGATGTAAAGCCGTAGCCTGACAAGCTCTTTGACGGTTTAATCGAAGGGCGCTTATGTCCATAAGGCATATCTTAAGCTAAATAATAAGATAAGACAAAGATAAAGAAAGAGAAAAAAAAACGGAGAACACAAGTAAGTAAACAACAAGTGTAAATTTAAAATCAAGGAAGCATAAAAATCCTTTACAGCAATATCGGCTTTTCATGTTCAACAAAATTCACAGAATATAAAGCATGAACACACTGGAGTATTTTTAATTAAAATTTTGGCTCACAGATGTTTGAACGTCAACGAAAATTTCCGTGAGCTTACTTAGTATTTTGACGTCGCAATAAGTTAGAAGCTCAACCAATTGATTTTAAATGGCGCGGCAAATATTTTAAAAGAAAGTTAAATAAAATATGATTGGAATAAGTTTTATTTATTTATAAGGAGCTTTAATCATATTCAACCATTTAAATCTTTAATTATTGAGAGTGTTTTGTGTCATTGGCCTTCAAATTGGCTTGAATTAGCATTCAGGCACATATTATAGGTCATTATTTTTAATATTACAATTTCTCTTCATGATGACTAAGATAATTCTTGATCTTACAATTTGTTCAATCTAATGGACATTTACAATCTTTAAACATTTGCAAGTTATTCATCAAATCGTTTGATTGGATGCGTGACAACTTTCTTTGAGCTTTCTACATTATATTGTTATATTCCTAGCCATAAATTAATTTTGCCATCATAAACTTAATCGTTTCTTGCTTTTCCGTAATATAATTCGTGATCATATTAGAATTGATCTTCCGTGAACTTCCTACCCACATAATATTTCTTTTTACTTCCACTTTCAATTTTTTTCGGTTCCCTGTTTACTGCTTAAAAATTGCGTTTCTTATTGTTAGACTCATTCAAAATGAGCTGCCAAAGCAATATATATTTATGTAGTCAGTTCTTGACTATGACTATAACTTTTGCATTAAGGCGTGATTAGTTTTATGTTCCAATCATACGCAATGTTGAAATGATCAGTCTTCCCTATAAGATGCCGTAAAGGTTTCTTAGAATCGCTCAAGGTATTAGTAAATATATAACAAATCAAAATGGGCTCACGTTTATTACCAACTGGTCTAATTATATCACGAGTAATATACAAACAAAACTTGAAGTCGTTAGAAAATAAATGAACTAATAAATGAGTTCCGGAATAATTTTAGATCGGTTACCATTGTTTACCATGTATAAATTTCTATTTGATACATTTAAAAAACATTCCAAAAAGTTGAAAATATAAATATTTACAATTGTCAGGATGGCATATACAAATTCCTGTTGCAAATAAAATTCAAAATGCAATTTTCATGGTGAATCTTGAAATTTTTAAAATTTGGATTAGCATGAGTTTCAAAAAATAAGTTGATTTACATAGTCACCCTGCGACCACGATAAATTCATTAATTTAAAATGAAAAAAGTTGAAACAATAACCTTCTTGCATTTTGATTTCCTGTAAAAATTTGATCAATTTAATTAATTATAAATTTATTTTCATGAAATATATGAAAGAAACTCGTTACTAGAAAAAAATTTAGGAAGTGATATAATTCCTCTATTAAGAACAACAAAAGATTATTTTAATATAAATATTCATTATTTATAACATGGTGTCTTCGAAGTTGAGCATATATAACTTTCTTTAAGCCAAAAATCGAGTATTTCCTGAATTATTTTACAAAATGATAGAGACTCAAAGAAAAGAAGAAAATAAATATTGGGAAGGGGAGTATATTTAACAACAAAGTATAAAAAGAGCCCTTGACGACAAACAAATGTGTTAGTCTTTGTACTGTTTATGACTTTGTTTATTGATATATAAAATGGGCCATTTGACAATAAAAGCCGTTCATATTTGTTGTTAACCATATATCGTTTTCAAATATTCTATAAGATTAGTTTCCTGTATAAACTAATTTTCAATTTTTCAACATATACTTATATGACTAATCAGCAGACGAAAATAATTCACAATTATTATGGCTTTTATCTTTAAACGAAGTAACATTGAAGTAACTCATGGATTTGGTTTATTTCTATTGGTTATGGCAAGGTCAAATTACGGTGCATACGGCGTAACTCGCAATTGTACATTTTTTTCTGTATTAATCTAATTGCTTCAGAAATGAGTTTTCTTAACTCATGGTTGCCTTATCTGCAAAACTTATTGTCAAATGCGATCGGTTTTCTTAACTTTAGATGGGATTTTCGTCAAATAACTGATGCAGACACAATTGTTTCAGTAACGGAGAATGTTAACAAATCAGTGCAAAAATCTCAACAACTGATAACTCCCTGGAGATCTCTTATAAATTTGATCTTTTCCATTCTCCCAGGATGCAAGTCAATATCGAAAGTCTTAACGATTTTCATAAACCTATTGCAATTTGCCTTGCTTATATTTCACTTACCATTTCCTTAAACGAAATCTATCACAAAATTCACATTGAATAATGCGAAGATCATTGGTAACAAATGTTGTTTTTCTTTTTTATCTGATTTGAGTTACCGACGATTACAAAAACTGGTTCTAAAATTATACTAAATTTCTCTTTTCTGACGAAATAAGATGTTCATTCAGGTATATATGTATAATAAATCAATGCCAAAGCATTATGAAGAATTTGGGTCTAAAAATTATTTCAAATTGCAGGATTTATGATATTTATCATTAGCCCTTAAACTTTGACTTCAGCTTCCCCATGGGTGGGGGTGGGGTACATTTGTAGTAGATAGTTAATAGCAGTTCATTAGCTGCCTTCTTACTTCCCAGTATCTCTGGATTTCCGTCGTTGTCTTTAGAGCTGGACACTGAATCAGGTGGGTCTTCTCTATTTCCTCCTGCAGGTTACATAGTGGGAATGTGGGTTGATTGCACACTCCCAATCTGTGAAGGTGTTTTGCCAAGCAATCGTGTCCGGTACTTAGTCTAAACTCAGCAACGGATTCGATTCTTGGCCAGTCAGCTATGTCGGAGAGCGACACTGTCCACTGTTTCTCCTTTGTTTGAGCTTTAAGTTCGTTGCACCTTGAGGTCTGGAATTCTCTCCTGATTAAGGCCTTCATTGTGTGGAAAGACATCGGCCGGTCCATGCATTGCAAAATTGTTGTCCCCTTATTAGCAAGTGTGTCAGCAAGCGCATTGCCTTTAATGCCACAGTGACCAGGAATCCATTGCAGAACCACTGCTTTGTTTTTCTCTCTCTCTGCAGCTGATAAATCTCATTGCCTTTAATGCCACAGTGACCAGGAATCCATTAAGATCATTGCCTTTAATGCCACAGTGACCAGGAATTCATTGTAGAACTTACCTTTAATGCCACAGTGACCAGGAATCCATTGCAGAACCACTGCTTTGTTTTTCTCTCTCTCTACTGACCAGGAATTCATTGTAGGACCACTGTTTTGTTATTTTCTCTCTCAGTACTGTGTTTTTCTTTCTCAGCAGCTGATAGAGTTTTCTACATTCTAGTATCTCAGCTGTTTTGGGTGGCTCTCTGCTTCCAATTGAGACTA